TAGCTCAGGCACCCCTATAGTCACCAGAATGGAGGTGCGCAGACAGCAAGGGACCAATGAACAGATACCAAAAGAAAAGAATGTCCACACCTGTATCTCAGCGATTCTGCCAGGCGTCTGTGGCCGCTCCGATCCTTCCCCCGCGTGGTCTCAACCAAGATGGCGGCTCCTGGAGCAGCCGAGCGTCCTGGACTAGAAAGCAATAGATTTCTTGCTTCTGCCACATATTCCCCCAGCTGTGAGCCTTTCAACCTTCTAAATATTCCTTTATATGTGGTTCAGAGTTCTGGGACCACCCCCTGAGCCTGCTTGGTCAGGTATTCTGTGTTGTTTTTGGCGGAGCTCCTTTACTGCACTTCCACCTGATCCGCCATCTTGTTTGTTCTCCCCTCACATTTAGTTTTATTGTAAGAAAACAACTTGTATACTTCTAACATTTAAAACTGAGCATTGTCATTTCCAGTGAAATAAAAAGAATTTAAAAAATAAACAGCAACAAAATTACAATAGAAAATGTCACTCCAAATTAAGATCCTACAGGTTCTGCTCATTCTCCCATCGAGTGGCAAGGCTCAAGTCATCATTAGAAGCAAATTTTATTTTAAAAGTGTCATCTTAATCTGAAAGGATGTCAGTTAAACATCACAATTAAACATGCCAAAGGAGAAGCCTTGTTGTCAAAATGCCCACTTAACCCATCCAAGTATCTCTACTATCACAAGTTTGGATGTTCTTGTGATTCTCCTCTCACTTCACATCAGCTGGGCGCTTTGCTCTCAGCTACAGCCCTCTGTGGCTACGTTCTTGTCCATGGGCTCAGGAGTCCACAGGTCTCACTACACTTGAGTGTCTCTAATCTCCAGTTGACGGATGTCTATGGAACATGGTTGACCTCAGCCGGTATGTTCATTTGTTCATTGCTGCCTTTCCCCCTCTTTCACTCACCAGGAGACCAACATGGTTACCAGTAAGCTTACACGCCTGCTCATGTGTTCCCTTTGAGTTTGTCTTGGAAAGGGATTTGTCCTGAAGAAACTGATTGCTTGTCTTGATGGCTCCCCAGTGAATAACTTGCTTGTTGTTCAATTTACTTGATTTTAATGTTTATCCTCTTATGTATTGTAAAATTTTCACTTCCATTTAGAATTTTTACATCTACCATAACTTTATGAATGAGGACAATCTGTAGGAATTTTCCTCTTTGATTGTATTTGTCAGATGTTAACATTATAGCTAAAGTGAATCTAACTAGGCTCAATGGGCTCCGTACAATAAGTTGTTGTTGTTAGGTACTTGAGTCAATTTCAACTCATAGAGACCCATGTAACAGAGAACTAACTGCTTCATAGGGTTTCCTTAGGGTTTACAGAAGCAGACCTCAGATCTTTTTCCTATGAAGCCACTGAGTAGGTTGGTACAAGTTATCAACCTCTCACTTGGCAGCTGAGTATTTAGCCACCAGTGCTCCTTACTCTAAACGTTGTGAGGTGCTGTCAAGTCAGTTCAGACTCACAGCGACCTGATCTATGTACAGCAGAGTGAAACAGTGCCTGGCCCTGTGCCATCCTCACAATTGTTACATTTGAGCCCACTGCCGCTGCCACTGTGTCAATCCATCTCATTGGGGATATTCTTTTTCGTTGACCTTCCACTTTACCAAGCATAATGTTATTCTCCAGGGACTGGTCCTTCCTGATAACATGCCCAAAGTATGAGTAGATGAAACTCTGTTTTCTCTTCATCCCCTTGGGAAGCCAGAGGAAGTCAGACATGGTCTCTGCATGGTTACTATATTGCACCCACTCAGAAGCCAGGAGATTTGGTTGCTTTTCAGTGCACCAAGTTTCTAAGAGGACCGTGACCCATTATCTCCCCTGTTCTGTTTATAGCTCCAGTTCACACAAATGTTAAAAATCTGAGCCTGTTCCAGTGCCACTTCCTCAGCCATGATTGAACTGGAGTGATCTGGTTTATACTGGTATTCTGTTCAGGTTTGCTATGGACCGTCAATACTAGTAGGTGAGCAAAACAAGAATAAGATAACTAAAGTAAGATATTCTGGAGTTATTATATTCCTTAGGATTTTTATTCCAACAGCAAAATTATATGATAAATTTGAAACTAAGATGTTTTCAGTTTCTGTAAAGATTTATAGCCTTGGAAAATGAATATAGGGTTGCTATGAGTCAGAATCAACTCAAAGCAGTGAGTTTAGTTTTGAGTTTGAGTCACTGGTAAAATATGTAATAACTGGAAAAAAATAACTTGTAAACATATATGAACAGTGAAGGCAAGAGACCGAAGTATCAAGAGTTCAAAAGGAAATTAATAACCACAATCCCATTCTATATCAGTATCTTAGAATAGTACAATATTTAAAACTCATCTATCAAAATGAATTATTCCTTACAAGGGAGCTTCAAAGAATTCATGGGAAAATGGAATTAAAAGATAACAGAATAAAGTTTTTCCAAATTTTTTGAAGCCCCCTCCTACTTTTATGAGCTCAATGTTAAATGCAGTTGGTGAAAGACTAATGAGGAATTATCTCACAATCATTGTTAAGTCACCACAGCATCCTTGACATAATTTGGTCAAAAAGATTAATGACATAAATTAATGAGATAATGTTTACAAAGATAATTTGCAAACTAAAAAACACTATACAAATATAAACACACTATACCTCATTAATCAGGTTCAGGCACTCAGAAAACGTCTTGTTTACTTTTTCAGTAAATAATCTTTGTTCATCTTCTTCTGCCATGGTGGTCCAGAAGGACCTGACTGGGTTTCCATTTTGTCCCTCCGACTCAGGCTGGGTAACTACTGAGCTAGGAAGCCTTTTCAGCACTCTCCCTTTACCAGCTTTCCACTCAGTCAGATGAGCTCTAAGGTTAGAAGACGGATATAAACATTACTATGATACTGATGACAGAGAAGTCAAATAAAGACAATGCTAAATAAATAGTTCAGGTTTTTAAATGGTTTCACAGTAGTGGCACATATACAGTTTACAAATCTGAAGAAAAAGAATTTGTAAACACATCAAAGTCAATGATTTGCTCAAAGGCCCTCAAATAGTGCATTTTCAAATGGAGTTAAAAAAAAAATATTTCCCAATTATTACGAGGCATTTTAACTTAGATTACAAAAAATTAATAAAACACACCCAAACAGAAACTTTAAGTCCTACTATAGCTCCACAAGGAGTCCTGGTGTAGTGCTGTGGGTTAATGCGCTAGATTGTAACGTCTGTTTGAAACCCAAGGATGGTGGTTCAAGTTCACCAGCCACTCCTCGGAAACCCTATACAGGGTTACTATGGTTGGAAACCAATTTGACAGCACTTAACACCATAGCTCTACAAAGGTAGCCCTGGTAGCACAGTGGATTACAAGTTGGGCTGCTAATTGTAAGGTCAGCAGTTTGAATGTACTAGCAGTTCCATGGGAGCAAGATGGCTTTCTGCTCCTGTAAAGGTTACCAGCTTTGGAACTCTGGACAGAGTCACTATGATTGGAACCGCAGCTCTACAATATACAGTTACTTACATTTGCCTGCATGACAGAAGAGCAGGCAGAAGAAAATTCTAATACATTCTAGGCAATTAATTCACAAGCACTACTATTTAGGTAATAAAATGAACAAAATTACATATACTCACTTTCTTTGTTCTGCAGTTTCTTTGGGATGAGCAGATTTATTATTGACATTTGCATTTGCTGCTATAGTATGTCTTCGCTGATTGGTGGGTTTTGACTTTTCTATCAATTTGGTATTAGAAGATGAGGCAGGTTTTGTTACATTTCCAGGTGCTATGCTTTTTGATCGTGCCTCATTTCTTTTGATGTCCTGAAAACTGGTTTTGACAGTAGATATATCAGTTTTTAATTGAACTAATTCTTTTCTATAAGGCCCTTTCCGAACTGTAACATTGGCAGAGGCTCTGATGATGCTTTGTTTCTGCTTGTCTTGGCCACTATCGTGGTGGCTTCTAATAGGAGGTCGCACAAGTTTGTTCTGAGATGCAGTGCTTCTAATTTTAGTGATGGTTGTCACATCTGAGGCTCTGTTACCTTTCACCGGTACACTGCTCATGGTCAGAGGCTGTGGTTTGCTGGCATTAGAGACATTAGTTGAAAGTTTCTTGTTTGTTGTAGAACTCTCATCTTTGACTTGTAAAGGTTTTCTGAATGAATTAATCTTAGATGCAACAACTTGGCCACAGTAAGACCCAAGCACAAGTTTCTTGGGCTTATTAGCTTCTTGCTTCAACTTTTCTGTGGGTATTTGTTTCTTATTATTTTTTTTTAAGTGAAATGCCTGGCTAAATGTCATATGTTGATTTGGAACATCATCTTTAGTTTTTAACAACTGAAGAGATTGACTACCATCCTCAAAATTATTTGTATCAATTTCTAAAGTTGAATTGGTTAATTCACTGGAAGATTCTGAAAGAATACAATTTTTTTCCATTGTTACATTGTTTTTCCTTTGTGTAGGTATATTGGTGTTTTCTTTATTAGCCTAAAAGAGTTAATTTAGACAAATCAGTATTTCAGAAACCATTTCTTCCATGAAGAGGGAAAGGGAATAAAAGGACTATTTAAGACTGCAATACCCAGACCTTACCATTTTTGTTTTAAGTTTCAGGATGTTTGTTCCATTTTGAATCTGGTCCTTGGATGTCATCACACTCTGTTTTCTATTAATTAAAAAACAAATGTAAAAACTTGACCATGTAGTAAAGCTTCTGATTGAGGGGTCTGGAGAAGACAGGGAACCTTAACAATTAACTGTGACTTCATAATTTTAAATAGAAGAATTAAACTGAGTTTCATTTTTTTTGGCAATATTTCATTAAAATGTGATTTGACAGTGCATAAACAAGATGCAGGAATTTAAAAGTATTTGTTTTTAAAGTCTTAATACCTTTACCCTGCATATGTGGTGGTGGTGGTGGTGATGTGCCATGGAGTCGCTTCCGACTCTGTCTCCAAGGCTGTAAACCTTTAGGGGAGCAAAAAGCCTTATCTTTCTCCTGCAGTAGTTTTGTACTGGCTGACCTTGAGGTTAGCAGCCCGACTCATAACCTTATGTAAACACTTGATATTCTCATTTTAAACCACTCTTCTCTGGTCATCAAAAAGTTGGTTGGTTTTTTTGAAATCTTAAGTGATAGCTTCTTGGATAGTGAAGTACTTAGTAACAGAGTTACATTGTAAACTTTAAAATAGTGTTCCCAAGAAATCCAAATTTTACTATATATACACTTACAGCTTAATTTAAATTAAGAAATGGACTCTAGTTTTCTAGGTGGTTGAATAACACTGAGAGCCCTGTAGGATAAACACTGAACTGGTAAACCAAGTTCAAACCTACCAGTCACTCTTAGAAACCCTATACACACGGTCACTAAGAGCTGGAACTGACTCCACCATGCACATAACAGATAACACTGCATTTAGGGTATGTACTCATAGCAAATACTTCCTCAAGAATGTGTCCAACTCCTTTTTTACAGTGATAAATGACTAGCAAAAGCCACAGAATCTCTTTATTATTGTTGTGTGCCATCGTCGGTCTAACTCATAATGACCCTATTTTGAGCTTGAACCACCAACTTTGTGGTTAGCAGTCCAGTGCTTATCCTACAGCACCACACCAGTAGTCCAGGAAAGTATGTTAAGAGCATTATTAGGTTATGGGAAAGAAGGTCAGAAGACAAGAGAGAATAGTTATTCCCTAGATCTAGATCAAAAACAAAAGAAGAGTTTTCTTCAGAAAGGAGTCCATCTTCACAAATACAAGGGTAAATTGTAAGTATTACTACACAATCACAGAAACCTTTATTAACCAAAAAAATATAAAAATGTGAGGCTATTATTTCTCAGCATATCCTTCCATATAGCTCTATGAACTTTTGAAGGTGGTGTTTCCATTCCTGTGACTGTTCCCTGAAGAATGCTGTATTCTTCCATTCACACCATTATCAAATGGCAGCTCTGGCATCCTTGAGGGACTCAAATGGTGGTCCTTTAAAATGTTGAGTTGGGAGCAAAAAAAGTCTAAAGAAACAAGATCAGGGCTGTAATGTGGATGGGGTAAGGCTTCCTAATGAAATTCTCATAGGACAGCCCTTGCTACTCTTAAAATGTTTTTCATAATATACCCCTGTGGAACTTCCTGTGTTCTTCAAGAAATTCTATTGACTACCTTTTTGCTCTCCCGAAAAGTATCACCAACATTACCCTTTTGGAATCCCAGAGTCATCATAACCTTCCAAGGTGACCTCTCTGCCTTGAATTTAACTGGCCCAGCTGATCCCCCAAGAAGCCACTGTTTTGATTGGACCTTGATCTCTGGATCATATCAATATTGCTTAGAAGACTAATGTAAGTATCTGTTCTTTGAACTAGATTTTTACATAATGATTTTAAAAAATAGTTTTTTGAACCTTAACTAGCCTAAGGCAAGTATGTTACTGAGAGAACTTGTCTACAGTCACCTGCTAATTGCAGACGTATTTAGTTACTAAACACATACATGTATGAACCCTAGTAGCAATACTTTTTAAAAAGAGCTTTTATTGTGGATTAGAAGTTTATAGAATAGATCATCAGGTTTACATTGAATAAATCATATACTTTGCTTCATATCAATGACTGCAATCCTCAATGTAATTTCACTAATCTTACTCATTTCCTCCATTTCTTGTTTCCATTCCCTCTTTCCCCACTCTTTACATTTTGTCCTTAGGTAAACGATGTCATTTTGATCTTGAATGCCCGACCATTCTATGGTGTGCATACCTCACTAGTGTTGCTGTTCCCATTCAAATACCTATCTATTGCTTGGCTGATAACTGAGTCACAAGGGTGACCTGAAGAGAGACCCAGGGGCTCTACCAGCCTGTGTCTGATAAGTCTGGTCTTTTTTATGATTTTGAGTTTTGCTTCACATTTTTTTCCACTCTACCCAAGACTGTCTAATGTGATCTCTTTTAGAACCGTTGGTCGTGGCAGCCAGGCATAATCTAGCTCTTCCGGTCTTGTAGAGACTGATGTTCATGTATTCCATTACTACATTGGGCTAACTATTACCAAACGTCTTCAATTTTCATAACTCTTGTTTCCTCCACACAGGAGAGAACAATCGTAGCACCTTAAATGGCCACCCATAAGCTTTGGTAAGATCCCAGTTACTACAAACCAAAGTAGAATGTAGAACATATATTTGTGGAGTGTGTTAAGTAGCAATACTTCTTTTATTTACTCTGGGATACATTTCCTATACAGAAATATGCTTTTTTTCTGCTCACCAAGCTATTTTCAGAATCAGGTTTTTTCAGCATAGAAAAATTCCAGCTATGATTTCTCAAATATTGCTTCTACTTTGCCTTGTAGTTATCTATATGATGGTAATTTCTCCATACCTGAACACCTCAATTGTTGTTAAGACTTTTCACTGTACTGAACTATATTCTGGGAGAATTCTCAGGTTCAATCCTACAGGTCACTGATTTCTTCAGTTCACTTTGCTATTCAGACCTATATATTTTATTTGAACAATTTCATTCCAAAGATTTCTGATACTCTTGTAATGTCCCCCTTTTCTTGGTTTATGTGTATATTACCCCTTTAAAGATATTTAAAAGTCCAATCTCTATGATATATATTCACTTGATTGCTTAGTTTGTTACTTTTTTAAAATTGTGTTGGATTTTCTCACAGTTGGTTAATTCTTGACTATGTACTATGTTTGCACAAATCTAAATGCTGTTAGTTGAAAAAAGTACCTTTCCATTAAGAAAGGGGAAAAAAACAAACAAAAACACCCAAACCATCTAATTAGACATAGCACTGGCTTAAGAGAAATTCCAAATCCAGAGATGTTAACATGGAAAAACATGCATTTTTAAAATTGACAAAATTGAGTATTTTTAGAGTTGATTAATTTTGGCTATACTGCCTTTCATATTTGTGCTCAGTCTTGCTTAGGGGAGGGGCAGAATTGTTGATATAACTCATACATCATTTTAAATGATGGAGGGGTCAACATGTACCATTAAAGCAAAGTTATCTTTTTCTAAGTATGGGTGCTTCTTGTTCCTCCTTGACACTGGCAGTCACATTCTCCTCTTGAAGCTCCTCCATTTACTATTTGAGGGCAAATACCTCTCATACTATGGCTTGGCCCACTGTAAGATGGAAAGAGATGTTCAGGGTCATGAAGTGAGACTACTCCTATGTGATACAATTCAACTAATCAGGCCACCTGGTGACCTCAGCGTCTACTGCTACTAGATTTATAGCATCTGATGCACAAAACCTTTTTAAAGTGTTGAAGAGCACAGATGTCAGTTTGAGGACGAAGGTGCACCTGCACCTAAACCATGGTATTTTCAATAAACTCATATGCATGTGAAAGCTGTACAGTGAATAAGGAAGACTTTAGAAGAATTGATGCCTTTGAGTTATGGTGTTGGAAGGGAATATTGAAAGTGCCATGGACTGCCAAAAGAACCAAGAGATCCGTTTTGAAAAAAGTGCACCCAGAGTGCTCCTTGGAGGCTAAGATGGCCAAACTTTGTCTCTCATACTTCGGACATATTGTCAGGAGGGACCAATCGCTGGAGAAGGATATCATGTTTGGTAAGATGAAGGGTCAGAGAAAAAGAGGAAGATCCCCAACAAGATGGATTAGCCAAGTGACAGCATCGATGGACTCAAGCGTGGCCGCAGTAGTGAGGTCAGCCCAGTATCGGACAGTGTTTCATTCTGCTGTGTATAACATCACTATGAGTTGGTATCAACTCGATGGCACCTAACAACACAACAATAGTGATGCTTTATCATGAGAACATCAGAAGCAGTCTTAATTAGCGTTAACTTACCTTTCCTCTACTAAAGTCTACCAGTCTATCTTTTTCCATAGCCATATATTCTACTTTCTCTTCTGTTCTAATGGATAAACTTTGCTGTGCTGATCTAGTGTCAAACTTTCTACTTTTACTCTCTATTCCATTTCCTCTTCTCTACTCATGGCATTTGCTCCTGCAAATATTTTAAAAATTTATATATCAGCAACTTGTCCCTCTCCTACTAATTTTCCATCAGCATATAAATATTAGGTTTATATCTTCTCTTAAAAAGCCAAAACCACCTATTTCCATTCAGTTAAATACTAGTTTGTTTTGCTGTATACAAAACTTCTCAAAAATACCTAGCAAAACTCATTGTTTCATCTTCTATTCTCTTCTCAGCCTATAGAGTCTACATCTATCAGAAAATTGTCCCTAATACTCTACTCACACTCCTAATGCCATCACTTCCATGATTCTATCTTATGGGCAAGTTCTCAGTAATCATCTTACTAGACCTCGCAACCATGCTTAGCAACTGATCAGTTTTCTTTCTGTAAGCACTTTCTTCACTTTGCTACTGGAGTACCAATTTTTTCTTGTAATCTTACCATTCTACTTCATTTAAGTCTGTTTCTTCCTGGCCTGCCCAATTGAAAATTTTACATTTTTCTGCCTTTTTTAGTTTTACACTTCCTAGAAACACCTCTTTTTCTGTCAATGCTGATAGAATTTTAGTGTTTAGTCTCGAAACTGCTTTCTTACCTGCTAGCTATAAACTTCAGGGCAATGAGAACAGATTCTATTCACCTGTTCAGTGTAGAGATATACGTAAAAACATTATAATCTTGTTTTAAGATTGTATGTGGCATATACACATTCCCACCGCCCCCCCAAAAAAAAAACTGTTAGGATACGTTACATCATCTTAGTCCTTTACCCTCTATAAACAAAATATCCTAAAAACAAGGACATTTCTTATTTTAATCTCAATATAGCTATCAAGCTCATAAATGTACAACTTTAATCTATTGATATTTTCGTTGTCAACTAACATAATAATGTCCTTCATGACATTTCCCCCCCAGTACAGGATCTACATTACACTTAGTTGTTATGTCCCGTTAGCCTCTGGAACATTTCAGGATCATGCTTAGCTCCATTATTTGATTTACATTCTGTACCTAATCCATCACCAGTTCTGTCAGCTTTACCAACTTTGACGATTTTCCACCATGAGGAAGGGTAGAAGAGATACTCATTAAAACAACAAGACTCTAACCCTTCCTGCCCCGGGCTGAACTGAACTGGGCTGTGATTCCTCTTGGCTTGAGCTCCTACTATGGCCCCCAAGAGGGGCTGACACTTCATCTCCTGGTGCAGATAGATCCCGCCCGAAGGAAGAAGGCGCGACCCAGGGACTAAGGGGCAGAGGCCGACTCCGAACCTCGGGAGAAGGGCACTCAGCTTGAACCAGAGACTTTGAGAGCGCGCCTGCCCAGCTCGGCGAGGGCTGCAAGATGCCCGTGCTGAAGCAGCTGGGTCCGGTGCAGCCCAAGACACGACTGGAGCGAGGCGCGCTGTCCATCTCGGCGCCACTCGGCAACTTCAGGCACATGCTGCATGCGGGGCGTGGCAGCGACGCCTTTGGGGACACCTCGTTCCTGAGCCGCGACGGCGGAGGGCCGCCCCCTGAACCCCGGGTGCCGTCGGCGGGAATCCCGCGCTGCTCACCGCTGCCTGCTGTCCTGCAGACCCCCGCGCCCGCGCTCCGAGCGCCCGCTGACCCGCTACTGTCCTTCCACCTGGATCTGGGCCCTTCCATGCTGGACGCCGTGCTGGGCGTCATGGACGCGGGGCGCCC